CCCCCGAAGCGGGTGTGGGGGGATGTTCGCACCGGCCTCGGGAGGCAGAGCCCGCAACCCCTTCCAAAAACAAGAGGGCACGGCACGAGCCTCGTAGAAGAGAAAGGCTAACCCCGCAGCGAGGGGACATCAGAGGGCCGGTCGTTCCTCGCCGCAGGGCGGGGACAGGGCCACCTTCCCTGCGAGTGTCGCTGGCGGGGCCGCAGGCTCCTCCCGCCGCCGCCGGGGCCCGGCCGGGACCCCGCGGGCGGGGCCGCTCCGGTTCCTGGCTTCCTGCGCTCCTCTCCTCCCGCCGGCTGCTGCCGCCCGGTGCCTGCGCTCCGCTCCCCCAGGTACGGCTGTGCTGCCCGGAGCCCCGTGTGGGGCTGCCCGGGGCTCTCGCTCGCTGCTGCCGGCGCCTCGGGACGCGCGGGGTTCGGCCGCAGCTCCGCCGCCGCCCGCAGCGTGCTGGGGCTGGGGGTCGCGCTGCCGGGGAGCGGCTGCGGCGAGGAGAGACCCCCGTAGCTCCGTAGGAGACGCCCGGTGCGCTGCCGGTGAAACCCGGGGCGCGTCCCGCCGTCCTTCCCGAGCGCCGCTGTGGCTGCGGGGCGGTTCGGGGGTCATCGTTAGTTCCTCTGGGGCCAGAGCTCAGGGTGATGTCCCTCCGGGCTGTGTCACCGCCCGGTCCCAGCTTCTCGGCGGAGCTGTGCTCGGGTAGTGCAGAGGCGGTGAGAGGAATCGTCTGTGAACCCTTGGAGACAGCCGTCCCCTCCCAAGGTTTCGGCAGTTCCCGTCAGGGGTGCGACTGCTGCCCATCCCTCGGCCGAGCCTCCAGCCCCGAGCTCGGTCCCCTGCGCTCCCTTCTCCTGCTCGCGGGGCCAGCGCAAACCACGCAGGTGGCCGCATTCCTGTTTTCCTTTGGATTTCCATTCATCTGTTGGGACTGAGGCGTGCTCGGCCGTGTTCGGGCGCTGCGGACTGCGGGGCTGGGAGCCGGGATTGCCCAGATGCTGCCCGAGAAGTCCCCGCTGTGAGCGGTGGGCGCTGCGGAGCGCGGCTGCTGCAGCCGGTGGAACGAGGCTCCGACTGAGCGGGATGTGAGCGTGGATGCACCAGGAAAACTGGCCCGAGGAAAAAAAAGAGTATTTTGATAATTTTGTGACTTGGCAGCGTGAAACAGTAAAAGATTAGTCATTTCCATACCCCAGCTACACTTTGTAAATGTGCAAATCCTTGTAATTATTACTCAGGCCAGCTTAACTTCAAGGAGTATCTGCACTCCTTCTCAGAGCTTGTATGTATTGACGTATTTTCAAAAATGAGCTTGGCTCCAAACTGCTGTGCGAGGAAGTTTCCTTGGGTGATATGGCTGTTGCATCTGAAGGTCTATTTTTACTCTGAAGAGTAAGTTTTTGGGGCTCAACAAGATTTACTGCTGTGTAAACTAAGCCGTGGCTTTGTTTGAGGCTGAAGGCTCGATCTGTTCCTTTCAGAAGCACTGATGAGAATCGTAAGCATTTGCTGCTTCATTTGTTTTATTGCTGGATCTTGTTTCAGTCCTGAGATGGGAAATTAAGATTTTGTTTTGGTTAGCTGGAGTGAAGGAGCTGGGTGTGCAGTCGGGGTAACATGACAGACCCAGTTCCCAGTAATTCTCTTTTCTCCGACATCTTTCTTATGATTCCTCCCTTTTCTGCTTCAATACTATATATATATATATTTTTTTTTTTTTTTTTTTTTTAATTTCAAGAAGTAAAGTTAGTTAGTAGGCGTTTCCAAAGTAAGATCTGAGAAAATGTTCAGTGAACATGCAGATGCCCTGGAGAATGCTCTGGGCTGGACCCAGTCCAGATCTTGCTGCACTCTTACTCCCTCATTTTGTTCTTTTAAGGCTTTGTACTTCCAGCAAGGAATAAAGTTGTATGCCACAGGGATGTCAGCATCAAAAACAAGCACATAAAGGTGCATTGCATGTGAATGCTTAAGAAGTATAGCGGCAATTGTATCTTACAGAGAGTGTTCAGGCTCTCTCACGTGTCAGTAAACTCTACAGAGTTCTACACTTCAGTATTCCCAGACATGTCAGGAGACACTGGAAAATTCCTGTGCTCTCTGCTAATGGACAGACCTGTCCCTTTGCAGTGAGAGAGGAAAACCAGTCACTGCAGCCAGCACCAAGCCAGAAATCAGGTTTGCTCTTTTGTTCACAGTTCATATCTGAAAAAAAATCTGGAAAACCTGCATGGAAACTATACCTTGATTTTTACATTTAATCTTTTTGTTAAAAATATCAGAATGGTATGATATTTTCCACAAATGAAAGACTTGTGGAACTGCTTAAATCAAAAGGCTGATGCTTTGAATTTCTTCTTCTGTAGAATTTACCCTGTCACGTGACTTCAGTAGTCAAAAATGCCTTTTGATTTTATCTAGTATGTTCATTTATTTTGGATATTGGCCTCACTACTGCTAGTCACCCCTGAAGCTACAAAATTCATGCTGGATGATACAGCAAACGTGAGCCGGATTCTTGGATCTTTGGGTCTGCTGGTCTGTTCTTACCCTTCCTGTAGTGAGCAGCAGTCCTGATCTGAGTTACAAGGGTTACGTGTTACTGGTTTCTCCAGTGAGCTCCATTACAATGTGCTTTTCCCTGTTAGTCTTGTCCTCAGAGCAGTGAACCTCCAGTGAGACATTCACAAGACATTCGAGTGATGATGAACTTTTGCTTCCTGCCTTCTGCAGGATGCACCAGCAGGACATTGCCAAGGTCTGGCAGGACTGACCCACAGCAGCGCTGTACCAGAGGAGCAGAACACAGAGGAGTGGAGAGTGCTGAGCCTGGGCTGAGCACACCATGGGGGCAAACACCTCCAGCAAGTCACCGCCCTTTGATGGGAATGAGGATGGTAAGAACTTTTCCCGGTTGTTGTGTGGGACTGCAGAGCTCTGCAGCGCAGACTGACCGCGAGGGTGCCAGCCAGCGCCCGTGCTGAGGCTGCAGAGCCTGGCTCAGCAGAGGTGGGTGCAGGTCAGCAGCAGCAGCAGCAGTGTGCCCGTGGTCCCTACAGAGCTGTGGCCTGATGGTGGGGTCTTTTTGCTTCCCCTCCCAGCAGCTCTGAAAGCAAGATTGTCAGCAGAGGTTTGGTGTTGAGGTGTCCCTGAGACACTGCCAGGCACCTCGAAGGCAGGGACAGAATTCTGCTGCTCTGGAGGCTGGAGAGGTCTGTTCTGGAGGTCCCAGCATAGGGAGGACTGGTAGGAAATATGGTGGGAAAGTGGCTGGAGCAATGGATGTTCCCGTGGGTGCTTCTGGTGGCTGCCCGGCTGGGCAAGGCTGCCTGCAGGCACTGGGACGCCAAGCCTGCAGGTTGGGTTGGCTGGAAAAGGAGTTGGAAAAGTACTGCTGGGAGCAGTATTGGAGACCAGGGTCCCTGTGCTGCCAAGACTACAGAGACAGTCATTAAAAGATTGCTCCATAAATATATTTGCTGTTGTATGAGTCAGCTTGCTGACTGCCACATGGGCTTTCACCTAGGTACAACAACAGCATGCATATGTAGATAAATACAGATATATAGTAACGAACATAAAATATATGAGGAGCTGGATACCCCATCAGCCGCTGTTCTGATGTTCCATGTGGTGCCCCTGCCAGTCTGCAGATGCTCAGCTAAACCAGCTCCAGTTTCCAAATTATTAGTGCAACTGCTTGCAGTTTTTCTTTGTTTGTCATATTTTTTCTATTTCTGTAGCGCAAAAGAAATCTGTGCTGTGAAGTTTTCCTGAAGATTTTATTCCTGGTGCATCTAAATGCTCAGTATTGGCATCTGCCATAAACAACCACAACAACTGCTTGCTCAGGATAATGAGCAGTTCTCTTCCTGACCGCCTTCCTCAGGGTTGCTGTGCCCTGGCTGTGGGATTTTCCTGGGAGTGGCTGGTCTCTGCTGGGTCTCTCTCTGGGTTCGGTGTTCATACAGCACCAGCTTCTGTGCCTGAGAAACACAGTGCCAGGAAGGGCCCTGTCCTGCCCGTCTGTGGTTCACTGTTGGTTTGTTCGGTTTCAGTGGGCCACCCTTGCATGCAGACAAGTGCAGTTCTATTCCATGGCCCTGCATGTATTTAAAGAGTGGTAGAGCATTTTTTCTCTAATTAGTAATGTTTTGCTATACTGAGGGGAGAGAAACCCAGCTGAAACAGAGATGTCCCCTAGGGAATTTTCCATTATCTTGCAAATTGTTGACCAGAGGCTATATCACCTTAGATGTCACAATCTCGTCCTCATTCTGATTTCAATTAAAATTGTAATTAATTAAGAGCTTCTGTGTACAGTAGGAAACAACACAGTGCTCCATGGCACGGGCACGTCCCACCCCCAGGCTGCAGGTGGTGGGCAGCAGTCCCATCTCTGCAGCTGTGCCACAAGGAGACTTTTCCTTTGGGACCCGTGAGGGTTGGTGGAACAGCGTGAGTTATTGTAGGTGCTCCAGCGCCAGTCCTAACAATTCTTGTGTATTTTTCCAAATTGCTGTTGCCGTAAATTCACTATTTTCTCTAGCACCATGATTTCTGTTTGAACTCCTTGAAGGGCTCTGTTTACCTTCAGCTGAAGTGGGGTGACAGGATTGTTTTTCTCTCAGCATTTCCTCTGAGCAGACAATTGTGCATAATAAGCAAGTGAAATGAAAAGAAAATACAATAACCAGGCAGAAGATCCAAGGCTACAACATGATCTGGTTCCCGGTGTAGTTAAGATGAGACCATACAAGAAGCCAGATTTTGTTTGTGCTGCTCCTGGGCAGAAGGGTGTGGGTAGTGTCCTGGGGGATGGCAGCCAGATGTTCCCCCCCAGCTGTTTGCCTGATCTGCCATTGACAGAGGCTGACCTGGGGAACTTGCCGTTGCAGCTGAACCGTAGAGGAAAAAAAGCCCTGTTAAACACACCAAGTTTGAACAACACCCAAATCTTCAAAAGGAGCAGAACATTCCTGGGGTATCCCTCATTTTTCTCAGCCCACAGTGAGAAAAAGTAGAAATAACATAATACTGTCAAATATTTGCTCAGCCATTTAATACTGAAATATTGCTCTTTCTTGCAGTTACCTTCGACCATTTTGAGATTTTGCGAGCTATTGGGAAGGGCAGCTTTGGAAAAGTGAGTGTTTTGGGAACTAATCACAGCGTGGGCAGCTGGAGATGCAACTGGGTGGAAATGGATGAGCGGGCTCCCATGAGAGTACAGAACCAAAGCCCATGCACTATCAGTGAGCCTTCAACTCCTGGTAATCAGAAAGGAATCAGAGCCCCATTCCTTATCTATTGTGTACCCACAAATCACATGAGATGAGATTAAAATTTAAAAACGATCAGTCAAATTATCTGAATTTCATTAGATTTCTGAATAAGCATTTTCTAATATTTCTCATCAGATCAACACTGAACGTCATGATACATTTTTGATAAAGGACTACAATCAACATGAAATTCTGCAAGGTTTTTTTAGCACATCGTGTAATGTGCTAAATGTTTCTCTGGGAGGCACAGTGTTTGTTATTGAGCGTCAGGTTCATCCCAAACCCCCTAACTATTGTATAAACAAAACCTGTTTTCTTCTGCGCTCTCACAGGCTCTGAGGCTTTCCTTGAAGTCGTGTTCTATATTTGGTGACATATGAGAAAGGTTAAAATTCAGAGCCCAGTACCCTTTAAACAAAGCCCAAGACTGACTGTGAACTGAGTGACACTTCTCGGCAGAGTGAGGATCGGGTGCTGGTCCCAGTGTTTGACCTGTAGTTCTGTGGTGGAGGGGGCTTTTCCCAACAGTAACTAGCGTGTGGGAGGGATGGACATGGTGGTCAGTGAATGACATTAAATAAAAAGCTGGCTTCTCTGTGATTCCCTGTCTCCCATGTTGTGATGATAAATTCCTTCCTCTCATCTTCTCTCAAAAATTTCCCTTTGGGTGAAATTCTCAAGAGGTTCCCAGGGAGTGTCCAGTTTGCAGCATTGGTGGATGGAGTTGTGCCCTGGCAGTGTGGGCACTGCCAAAGCTGCTGGAAAATGCTCATGTCACTGGGTTTTACCTGCCCAGATTTGCTGACAAATCATCTCTGATTTATCCCTGATTGCTGTCCTAGGTCTGTGTGGTGCAAAAGACTGACACCAAGAAGATGTACGCCATGAAATACATGAACAAACAGAAGTGTGTGGAGCGTAATGAAGTGAGAAATGTTTTCAAGGAGCTGCAGATTATGCAGGGCCTGGAACACCCATTCTTGGTTAATCTGTGGTAAGATGTGGCTCCTTGGCTCACTGGTTGAGTCAGCACAGTCAGTTACAGACACCTTTGAGACCAGGTCCTCTTCATCTTCTTCAAGACTGTCTTGGGAGCAGCTGGTGTGTTCCACTGACTGGGGCTCTTGTTTCAGGGGAATCCTGTTTAGTTAAACAAGCAGTTACCTGCCTTGTGCCCCCAGACAGCACAAGAGAGCTTATTCGTGTCTTCCTTTGCAGCACTCCCCCAGGCAGGTACTGCCTATTACCATAACCCCACCTGTATTTAAAGGAGCTCTTTGCAACCACCGTCAGCTCCTGGCAGCATGGAATCGATGGCCAGGCAGGGCTCTTTGCTGTCTGTCCCTTGACATTTCTTTCTTCTTAATTTTATTAGGACACCAGTAACATTCCAAGGGGTGTGAGCTCACACACTGCATGATAAAGTGGACCATATCTTGTAATTTCAGTATTCCTCTAGGGTGGTGGGTAATTACATTTATTGGAAATTTGATTTATTTTTAGAATAAAGTAGAAAATATCAATGCTAAACACACATTAAAAAAAAAAAATAGAAAGACATTGAATATCAAAAATCTTTGAATAATTCTTCCTTTTTGAAATCTCCAGTAACCTGAGCGCAGCTGAGTGAACTCTTGGTCTTTTGCTGCTGTTGCCATTTATAGTTGTTCTCACTGGGGTGTGAATGCTAAAGGTGCAGCTACACTTCCCATATCGTATCTCCAAACTTGTCTTTCCTACTTGAACACAAAGTTGCAGGCAAAGCTCACTCAGCAGCTGAGGACTGACCAGTGTGTGTGTGTGTGTATGAAGAGCTCTGTGCAGAGCAAACTATCCAAGTGTCCCTGCTTCTGTTCTTGCCATGCCATCCTTGGCTCCAGGATGCCTTTAGTGTTCCTGGGGCTTTCCTGCTCTCTGAGTGATGATACACAGACTACAAGCAGTAGTCTGGCTTGTGCTGTTGGTCGTCACGTTGAGCAATCAGTGTGTTGATAAGGAAAAATCCCTGAGGAAAGGGCTCAGAGCTGGTTGTCAGCCCCTCTCAGAGAGACACAGTCCATCAAATGAGGCGACTCACAGAGGACCAGCAGAGAGCAGCTGCAGCCCTGTTGTGCTGAGCACACAGGGTCACAGACAGACTGCTGCCGTGCCAGCAGGCACCTGACAGAGGGACCTCCGGTGCTGGGATCTGCTCCAGGGCTCCTCTGCCTTGCTCCTGGGGCCACCTCCCAGTGGTGCTCGGAGAAGGCAGAATGCCCATCCTGAGTTGTTCATACAGTCTGCTCTGACTCTGTTATGGATCTCAGACTAAATTACTGTCATCACAACTGTGACAATAGTGGGAAACAGAGCATGGGAAGGTCATGAAATTGTAGTTTCCCGAGTGAAAAATTCCAAGAAATGATGAGTATTCCCAGCAGTACCGCACGTTCCTTTATTACCTGTCGTTTTTCAATGCTACCATCCTTGAAGCACGTGTGTGTTGTTTTAGGTACTCATTCCAGGACGAGGAGGATATGTTCATGGTGGTCGACCTGCTGCTTGGAGGGGACCTGCGCTACCATCTCCAACAAAATGTGCGGTTCCGAGAGGGAACTGTGAGACTCTTCATCTGTGAGCTGGTGCTGGCCCTTGACTACTTGCAGAGCAGGCACATCATCCACAGGTCAGCCAGGCCGCAGGCTGTGCTGTGGGCAGGCTTGTTCCTTCTTGATGTGAAACAGCAAAGAGAAGCTTAAGTGATAAACAACGTACTCTCCCACGTGTGTTCGCTTTTACGTGAAACACAAGGCTTCCCCAAGACAAGTATTTCATATACAGCAGAGACCATCTGTCCCTCTGGGGTAGCTGTGAAATAGGATATTTGATTGTCCACTGATACGGCAAAAATTTGTCTCTGAGAGGTTTTAATTAGCTGTAGCTCATTAATATCCATCCTGGTCCAGGAAGGGTAGGTGTCAGCTTGGTAGGTGCTCATGCTTGAAGGTGTCTCCCTTTGCCCCTCTCTCTGTATTGGACCAAAATATGAGGACGGGACTCAAATATGGCTTTTTTTTCTGCATGAGATAAATCCCTTTCTAGAAGTGCTGAGAGTTTCTTTTTGGCTACCACAGTTTCTTATGGCCAGTGAAAAAATGCATGAGCTCTTCCCATACCTCTGCAGAATAGCAGAGGAGGCAGAGGTTTCCCCTGGCTGGGCAGCAGGGTTTGGCTCTGGATGCAGAGAAACACAGATTTCCTGCTGGTGTCATGGGCAGCACAAAGCTCGGGGGCCCAAGAGTTTAGCCAAGTTAACAAGCCTGCTGTCAGGGAGGATGAACAGGGAGGGATGATGAGGGTCAGTAACAGCAGGGAGAAGGTTACTTCCTTTAGAAACATCACTCCAGATGAGCACTCGTGTGCAGGGTAAGAATTAAGCATGGAAAGCGTAAAATTGAAACGGTCCTGGTTGTTAGTGGGGAAGCCACACGCGGGTGAGGAGCTGGTGAGGGTGAATCCCTGCTCCTGTCCACAGTGTCCGGCTGCCACGTCCAAGGAATGAGCCCTCGCCTGCCCCTGCAGCCACAAGAGCCCAGAGCTGTTCTGCTCTGCTGCAGTCAGGGCCAGGCTCTGGGGAGAGCTCCCACCTCCTCAGGGTCTCCTCTTTCATGCTGCTTCTTTTGTGCTTCACATGCATGGATCTTTGCCCCAATGTGAATAGGAGTGGGAGAAACTGCAGGCGAGGCTGCAGTGTGCTTTTCACACGGCTGCATGTGCTTAAGGTAAATCAAGTACAAGAAAACGTGTGTGGCAGTAAAATTTGCAAGTTATTTAATTAACACTGTAACCCAGTGGGATAGTATTTGATTGATCAAGTGATTCAGCTGAGCCAATTACACTGCAACAGCTGTAATTTGGAACATCAGGAGACAGGGAAGCAATGGCCTTGTTTGGCTGAATAAAGCTGCGCAGAGGCAGCAAACTCAGTCTGTAATTATTTCCCACCTGATGTAAAAGAAGGGGAAATATTAATAACTTTTAAGTTAGGAAATTATATAACCAGCTTATAAAAAAGAAGCATACAAATGAACAATAACCAGAATTATCTCTGGTCGTTGTTTGCATCTTGAGAATGATCTTACTGTTCGGGTGTAATTCCCGAATAATTCTGTAGGCCAGACAGAGGGAGATCAGGAACAGCCACACTAGAAATTAAAAAAATAATAGTTAAAAAAAAACCCCAAACACAGTTCCACTGTGCTTAGGGGGAAAATCAACCTGACACTGCCCTGTGCTCTGCTGATGATGCCTGTCCCTATACTCACCTGCATGATGGGATGGCACCGGGAAGATAACCAGTGTTGATAACCCGCTGGAAGTTGTTCCAGTGACAAGATGTCAGAGAATTGTAAGCTATTAGATGACAATTAGATATATTGTGGGGTTTTGATGCCACGTGGCTTGGAGAACTCAAACTGTATCTTAAGGATTGAATTCTTAAAGATAAAATCCTAAATGTGCTCATTTCTTCACCTGGAACTCCTGGGCCTGGTGGGGATCGCCAGCTGGCACAGGGTTACTGCACCTGTTGCCTGCCTCCTGCCTGGGACCTTCTCTCTGGAGCATCAGCTGGCCAGGTGCTCAGTGGGGACTGGTGTAATGAGCTCATTAAAGCCAGGTAATGGCTTGTAAAGTCACTCAGGTGGACACAGTGGCTGTATCAGAATATCAGGTGTACATTTTCTCCCATCAGTCCAAGTGTCTTCCTACAGCATTACTATAGGTATTATTTTGTGGGGTCCTTTTACTCGGGAAAATGAGTGGGTTACTGTGGGTAACCCATTTGTATCTAGAACAAAGATGTTAAAATAATTTAATTTGTACTGAGTGAACAGGGAGCCCGTCTCAATAAGGTACCGAAACAGATCGAAAAGTAACAGGAGGAAAATGACAAAAAATACTAACCTAAGTGTGAGTGAACGTACCTGAGTGCTGCTCACCCGAACCCCTGCAGCCGGTGCAGCGTCCCCACTGCTGCTGCTGTTTGATTTCTCTCTCTCTCACTCCCAATCAAACAGGAACCTCAGAGCTAAGAAGCCCGAGGCTCTGAGGGTGCAGTGCCTGCCAGCGTCCCAGAGCCTGGCCTTCCCTGGGCTGTTTCCTGTCACTTCTCTGGGCTAATGGCTGTCTCTCCTTCTCTGCTTTTTTTTTTTCCTCAGAGATATCAAGCCTGACAACATTCTACTGGATGAGCAGGGTAAGTGCCAGCTGCTCTGTGGTCATGCACACGTATGAAAGCAGTCGGAGGCAGGAGATGCGAGCTGTAGTCTCGGTGCTTGCTGGTGCCATCATTTGGTGTTGCTCTCTCCCTCAGCCTAACTGTGGGCAGGATCATCCCTTCCTTTTGTGCTCCATTTGCTGTCTCTTGCTTTTTGAGCACCAGTGTTTTGTGCCTTCAGGGCACTGGGCACCCTGTGATGCTGTGGTGTCTCTGGGGTTGCCTTGGTGTTTTAGCCAACACCTCCTTTGGCTGACTGACTTGGTGGTGTCCCTACAAGGCACTGCAGGGACCTTTTGTTTGGTGCTGCTTGGTCAGTAGCCCAGCACACCCAATTTTAACATTTTCTTGGTTCCTGTTTAAAACTTACTCAAAATGCATCATTTGAAGGGCAATGCTTGTGTCACTGCAGGAAATAATGTGTGATGTGCACAAACAGAATTAATTATGGTGCGAGAGATAAGCCTCGTTCATGTATTTTTTTTTTTTCCTTGAGCATTTGGCACGGGGAGGGAGCTCTGAAGATTTGGGGCTGATTGTGTTATAAACATTGCTATCAGTTTTTCTATAGTCTTTCTTGGGCAAAACTCTTGGCTATATCCTTGCATGGCTCTTTAGTCACTTTTTTTTTTCCTGGCAAAGATCTCGCAATGAAGAGTTGTCTGATATTTATTAGTTTGTAACTCATTAGAGAAACATTTTGTTAGCTCTTTTTTTTTTTTATTATTATTATTATTATTATTAAATGCAAGTAACTGGCTTATTGTGAGAAATCTTCATTAACAGCTAGAGCAAGGTGCTTGCAGAGAAAAAGTGCAGGGAGGAGGCATACCTGCATGTGCTATGACTTCAGAGGCTGTAGCAGAGATGCTGCAGCTCCCAAGGGAGGCACTGCCCGGCTCTGTGACCGGGTGTGTGTGACCAGGGTTGCCTGGCAGCACCGAGCCCAGGCTTGTT